GAGTTTTGGGAAGGAAAGGCTCAGAATGCAGTGTCTGGTACTTTCTAATATCACCTGTTATTGTGAGTGTGGACTTGAAGCTAGGGGGAAGGGGGTTAAGTCCTGACCGTCATTTGCATATGAGCCTCCCTGTACTTCAGATCATTTAGCTGCAAAATAGGGATGATTTGTAATATCTTCCTCAGGCCTGTTGTGAGGATGGAAAGAGCGGAGACAGGTGAAATGCTTAGAACAGTGACTCTCTTACCATGTGGGGTTCCCAGACTTCCAGATGGAGTTTCTTTTTGCCCTCCTGGGAAATTATGGGTGAGTCAGGGTAAGGATAGCCCACATGTGCAGGCCCTGAGCCTTCAGCTTCTGAGGGCAGATGGGCACCTTCTTTGAGGGGCCCCTGAATGCACCTAAATCCCAGAGAGTGCTGGGGGTTTGTGGAGCATTGCCTCATGGGGGGTTAAGGCACTCCTGGGTGTTGAGGCATCCCTGAGGGCCAGGAGGGACAAGGTCTTGGAAGAAGCACTTGTGCAGGGTCTGGCACTCAGCTGGGCCCTGGCAGTTTGAGTCAAGATGATCCTATCACTGTGGGAGAAAAGCCACTTCAGCTTGTTGAGGCCTTTTAAAGGAGTGTTAGATAGATTAAATGAGAAATGGGCATCGATGAACTTTGTAATGAAAGCACATTTCAGGACAGTAAAGGTGAAGGACCAACCTATACCATCTCTGCTAGGGTGGGGGAAGGGGATGCCTGGGCCTCTCGGGGCTTGGGTGTTGAGGAATTGTTCATTGACTGGAACATGGGCCCTTCTAGTTGGTGAATTGAGGCAGGGAAGCTTCAAGCTTGGGAGGTCCTCTGGGCTCTAGTCCTGCCCTGGGTCCTCCTGCTCCAGGATGCAGTTGATGGATGCAGGGATATGGGCTGCCCAGGCAGTAGTCCACAGCTCAGGCCCCGAAATTTGCCAGGCTTGGGCCTACAGAAGTCAGGCCAACAGGTATAGGGGCAAGAGCAGCTACAGGGCCGGCTGGCTCCAAGGACCTAAGGAGGAGGAGGCATGGGGTTGCAGAAAGCATCCAGTTTTCTGTATCAGGCGCCTGGCCCTTCGCTTCAGGAGACGGAGAGAGAAGGGGGCGCTTGTCCAAACCAGAGTTCCAGAAGCAGCAGGTTCTGACTGCCTGAAGGAGAAACTGTTCTGTGGTGCCCACTGCAGAGTGGGCGAACTGGTCCGGGAAGTGGTCCCGATGAAATCTCCTGCCTGGGGAAGCCGGCCTTCTGGGCGTTTGAGATCCAGTGGACCTTGATTCTGGAGGGGCACATCCCGTGGTACCTCTGAGCTTTGGGTTTCCAGACGGGAATAGGCAGCTGTCACACTGCCAGAAGTCCCCTCACGCCCAATGAGCCCCACCGCGGAGACCCCGCCACGCGGGAACTTCCATGGACACTGGACCCAGGGCCCAAGATCAAGATCCATGATGGCCGGGCGACGCTTACTGTTTAAAGGGAAGTCCCCTTTGTTCTTACGTTTTACCAAAGCGAAAAGCAATACCAATTTTTTCCTGATCAAAATTTTGCTGGCACCGAAGCGGCCCAAGCAGCTGCTGGAACCCTATGTCCTTGTCCTCGGTCTCCTCGCCCCTTCCTTTCGTGCTTGCCTCGCCCCCCACCCCGCCCCCGCATCTGGCTGGGGAAGGTACGCAGGGCGGCAGGCAGCGCACCCGAGCGGGGTCCGCAGGCCACTGAGGTATTCCTCACCCCGACCCCCGCCCCTTCCGCCGCTCTCCGGAGCCGGGTTTTCTTGGGAAACGAAGCGGCTCCAGCGGATCAGCGCTTCTGGTGGCCCAGGCCCGGCTTCCGATTCCATTTAACACAATCCGGGCATCTTATCTTCACGTCGCCTCCCGGGGCTCCCACCCCCCGGCCCAGCCTAGCGCCGGAGGAAGTGGAGCCGCGAGCTTTTGAAGTCTGGGGAATTTCAATCCTAGAGGAGCCGCCAGGACCTAAGCCTGTCGCCCCAGCGGAGAGGGGACAGCAGGTCCGCAGTGGGGGACCAAGAAAGGTGAGAATTGGTGGGGGCCGGGCCGGACCCCACTGAGGCTGCTATCACCCCGCTCTCTGCTTTATGGGATTGTCCAGGCCTGGCGGCTGCCGAGACACCTCTCCTCGAATTCACCTTCTGTCTCCACCCGCTTTAGGGATAACCTTTATGATATAGTGATAACCACGCTATTAAAATGTCCCCCAAATTTAAAAAAAAAAATGTTTTTATCCCGTTCCCTCCTGTTTTCTTCTTCCTCGCGTTAAAAACCCAGCCTCTCTTCATCTGATGAGGAAAGGATGCTTTTGGAAGAAGTGACATTTGCTTAACAGATTTTTTTTTCCTCTTGCAGGCCCTAAAGACCAGAGAAATTGAGGCTTCTTTGAGGGGACCGGAGGCATGATTTGGGAGAGAGATGTGGTGGAGTGCAGCTGAGGGGGGCAACCCTGAAATTTCAGATAGGAAGCCCCCGAGAAGGCAGCCCCTCCCCCCCGCCCCCCAGAGCCTGTGCCCCAGCTTGAGGCTGCTTCTTTCTCAGGACTCAAGGGGGAAGCTCCCTTGATCGGGCCAGACCCAGGAAGGAGACACCAGTGGCACCTCTTGATCTCTCAATCAGTACCCCGCTTTCATCTCACAGGGAAAACCCAGAGAAGAGGATCAAACGCAGAGCACTCCCATTGAATGCAAAGTGGGGGGCGGGGCAGGGGAGCCTGGAGTCCCTCTGAGAACCTGGCTTCTCCCCCGAGCCCAGCAGGGCAGCTGTGAGAAGGTGGCGGGCTCACTGGGGGGAGGAAAGGGTGGACCCGCCCCAAGCCCAGACTTGGAAGGGCCCAACACAAGGTGGGCAGCCGCAGCAGCTCTTACACAGATGCTGGGGGCTTTGACAGGAAGGAGAGAGCTAGCCAGAGGCTCCTCAGGCTGGGAAGGGCAGGGCGTGACAGAATCTTCAGATAACTCTGCACGGAAGGAAAAAGCTGTAGAATTTGATCTCCTCCACTCCCACAAAGCTTCTCTCATCTTCAAAGTATCCCCAAGATTTGGGGGCTAGTAGTGCTCAGAAGACGGTGATTTTGGGAGTCCCAGGGAGTAGAGGTGTCTGCGCAGACATTACCTTCCTGATCCTCCCCTCACCCTTCTGTAGGGTTAACGGGAATCTTATCGAATAGAAGGAGAAGCCACAAGCAGGAGTGAGAAGGGAACTTTCCTCTATCCCTGAACCCCTTGCTTCCTCCACGGCCTCCATAAGCCTGCAGATAGGAAGACTGAGGTTGGGGGGAGGGAGAAGAGCAGAGAAAACGGAGAGGGAGGAGGCGGAGGAGAGAAAAGTAGGAGATAAAAAGAACAAAAAAAAAAAGAAAAGAAAAACAGCGATCGAGGGACTTTTCTTTAGAATCTTGGACATCGGGGCTTTGCCTTGGGACATGGAGAAGGTGGGGGCGGTGCAGGGGCAGCCCTTTGTGGCTTAGAGCTAGAAGGTCTGAGGAGGGGGCAGAAGGGTAGTAATACAGAGCAGAGACCTGCATCCTGCCCTCCGCAAAGTGGGGAGAGACTGAGCTCACCTGCCTGGCCCTGACACGCTTGCTCAGAGCTGGCAAGGGGGTCGGTTTTCTGGTGGGTTCTAGTTCACCTTCTCTGGAAGAAGCCCCGAGAAGCAACCTGCAGGCAGCTGCTCCTAAAGACGTCAAGCACGACAAACACCCTCCAGCCCTGCCATGGAGGTTCCCCTTCTGTCCCCAAAGACCCATGAGAGCCCCCAGTCACCTGCCCTTTCAGGGCATTTTCGGTGACATCTCCCTCGGGACCGAAGCCTCTGCACAGGCCCCAGGAAAAAAACCCTGTGAGTCAAACCTCTGAACACGAATGCCACGTTCAAGCACTCTGAACCTCTGCCCCAAATCTCCGTGAGAACAGCGACTTCTCCCAGCCAGGGGCCTCTGGCGCTGCCGCTGTAGCGGCTGCATTTGTCTGAGTCTCTTCACCTGAAAAACCTGCTTTTTTGGGGGGCGGCGGAGGGGGGGGGAATTCGTTTACTCTGAACGAATATCTTAAAATACGGGCAAGAAAAGAAAAAAAGGCCACTCTCAGAACCTCTCCCCACCCTACATACCTGAAGCGCAGGCGAAGCGGGGAGCAAGTGGGGAAGCGATCGCTTCTACAAATAGCCCCCTGGAGGTCAAGCCGGCCGCGGAGAGCTTAAGGCCACCTAGAAGGGGAGGGGGGAATAAAAAAAAAAAAAATCAGCGAACATTTTGAGTCAGCAGCCAAGGCCTTAAAGAAAACATTTGAAGACATTTATCTCTTGCCCTGTGGGGAAGAAAATGAGCAAAGTTCTCTTTCGGATCCCAGGAGGCATGAGATGGGAGGAGGAGGAGAGAGGGAAGGATACCCCCGGCTCAGGCTCTTTCCAGACAACTTGCGGGAGGAGGGAATGTTTTTCGGTAGCTTGTAAAAAGACCCTGGAGCTTGTTTGAGGTTAGCTCGCCAGGGACAGGCAGCTGTAATAATGCGGGGAGAAGCGAGCCTTGTGAGTTGGCCTTCACACTCCTAAAATGCAGTTATGGATCCTCTCTTATCAAGGCGCCAAGTTAAGAAAACAAAAGCCAAAACAACAATTAAAAAAAATCAAAAGCGTATTCAATTACCGAGTCCCGCAGCCCCTGCGGAAACTCGCCGTGCGCGTTAAGCTCTCTTTTCTTTCGGCGGAATTCCATTTGCATCCCCTCTGCCTGGGTGTCTCCCTCTCTCAGTGTGTGTGTCTCTCTGTTTTCACACTCTCCTCCCCATTCGAGCGAGGCCCACACCTGGCGCATCACTGCCGAGCCATTAGCTGCGGGTCTCCTTTCATCTTCGCTGTGGCAGACGTTTCTATTTATCCACTTGCGCTCGCCGAGTGGCGTCACCAGCGGTACTGTAATGACGATTGCAGCAGGAGGATGACAGCTTAGAAAGAAGAGGGCAATGGGGCTTCCTCCCAGAGGCGGTGCGGCACAGAGGAGCTCTCGCATCACAAGGTGACCCCAGCTGCACCGCCACCACCGCCGTCACTGTCGACAATACGCTCCGGCCACTCCGCGCCCACCCAGACGCCTGGCTTCTCTTTCTCCCTTCTGTAGCCAAGATCTGTCGGACCTCTAGGGACCCTGGGAGCCGGGGGCTAGGAACTCACTTGGGGCTTTCCCTCTCCTGCCTCCGGAAAGCCCGGGATGGAGAGCCGAAAGGACATGGTCATGTTTTTGGATGGGGGACAGCTTGGCACTTTGGTTGGAAAGAGGGTCTCCAATTTGTCCGAAGCCGTGGCAAGCCCGCTGCCAGAGCCGCCCGAGAAGATGGTGCCCCGTGGCTGCCTGAGCCCGCGGGCCGGTCCTCCCGCCACCCGGGAGCGGGGCGGGGGAGGCCTGGAGGAGGAGCCGGTCGACGGACTAGCAGGCAGCGCTGCGGGGCCGGGCACCGAGCCGCGGGCAGCCGGGGCCGCCGCTCTCGGCCCGGGGCCTCCGGCCTCTTCCGCCGACAGCCTCTCCGGCCAGGGGCAACCTAGCAGCTCGGACACCGAGTCGGATTTCTATGAAGAAATCGAGGTGAGCTGCACCCCGGACTGCGCCACGGGGAACGCCGAGTACCAGCACAGCAAAGGTAGCCACCGCGCCCCCCTCTCCCACTGCGCCCACCTTCCACATCAGTTCTGGAGGGGAGATAGACCCTCTCTTCTCTCAGGGCAGGGTGGCTGGGGTGGGGGGGACCCACCTGAGCACCTCTCCCCAGCTATCTGCGCCCTGGCGGGGCCGGGACTGAGGTGACAGCTGTGCTTTGGGGGGAGGTAGGAGACCGCAGCCCTGGGCTTGAGGGTGATTCAAAGTGCACCCCAACCCCCCAGAGTTTTGTGGTAATGCTTCAACTGCGCCTGGAAGATACCTTCCCCCGGCGTGGGTGAGATCAAACGCGGATCCGGGCAGTTTGTGGCTGGCGGGGTGTAAGGCGCATCCAGGCGCGGAAGTGGGGAGTCCATAAAAAACCGTAAAATCTCGGCTGACCCGGGCCGCCTGGGTGCTGAGGCCCTCCGACCAGTTTGCACGTCGGTCAGAGGTCCAAATTACCTTGTCACTTCCCGGGCTCGGTGGCGCCAGGTCGGAAATGGTCCCAATGATCTAATTGCCTTTGGTCTCCGGTTGCATTTGAAAAGGCAGAGCTCTGGCCCTCCCCCCCACCCCTTCCCCTTTCCTTCCTAGCCCCACTTCTCCACCCAAAGGAAAAGGAGCTACAGGGGGCAGGAGCCCCACCCTTTTCTGGGTTAGGCCTAAAGGAGGGGGGGGGGCTGTCACACTGCTTTAACTGGAGATCCCCTTCCTGACCAGGGGCTGCTGTGAGATGCTGGTAAATGGCCAGGAGGGCAGTCTCCCTGAGAGAGTGGAAAGCTAAGAGGGAGAGCCCACCAGCAGATACTCCTCCACAAAGCTGTGGGGGTGGGTGGAAGAGACTAGGATGGAAAAAACAAAAACAGAAACAAAAAAAGGCCCCCACCCCCTGGCCTTGGCAGCCAACACAGAGTTGAGCATATCCACCCATGATCATCTTATCCACTGGACCCAGCCTCCCCAACCATAGCATGTCCTCGGAGCAACCCATACTCCGCTCAAATATTTGAAGATAATAGGTGTTCGTACACACACTCCTATGCCATCCTGCAACACGTGCAACCTAGTGCAACACATTCCCACACCCGCATTGGCAGCCTGGCACACACAAAAGCGAGGAAACTGTTCGTGCCCAGCATCCTGCAATGCACTAAGACCCAGAGTTCATAACGCTCCAGCAAAATGGTGTGTATCAACTCACTTGCCTGTCAGGTATGCACATCTTTGCCCACTCCCGGCAAGGGTGAGCAGAAAGCTCAGAGAGGCTGCATCTCACCTGTGCCCCAGGGCAGGTGGCTAGGGTGGCTGGGCTTCTGTATCTAGCAGGAGTAAGGGGCCTTCCAAACAGTAGCCCCGCCAGGCCTAATGGCTGCTATGAGCCCCTGTCCTCCCTTCCTGGGTGCTTGAAGTCCCCAGTGCCCCAGCAGAGGCAGTGGCTGAGGCTACTGAGAGGCGGGGGTGTCTCTCTCCATCCTGGGCCTACAGCACCACATCAGCAGTGTTTGTGTGTCTGTTGTGTTGTGTATGTGCGTGTGCTCTGGGCTCCCTGCGCAGGGCCGGGCTCTGAGGTACTGGCCAGCAGTCCCAACAGTGGCAGCGAGGCCCCAAAGAGCAACAACGGTGGCAGCTCGCAGGGCACCCTGGCTTGCAGTGCCAGTGACCAGATGCGCCGGTATCGCACCGCCTTCACGCGGGAGCAGATTGCGCGGCTGGAGAAGGAATTCTACAGGGAGAACTACGTATCCAGGCCACGGAGATGCGAGCTGGCCGCTGCCCTGAACCTTCCCGAAACTACCATCAAGGTATGAGCTCCAGGTACCAGGGAGAGAGGGTGCGCCCGCGCAGGAGGAAGTGAATACCACTGCTCGATCCTTAAATCGTGTGCGAGCCGGGAATCCATGTCTGGGGTCTCTCTGTCCACGTGGCAGCTGGGCTGGGGGTGTCCAGGCCTGCCGCAGGCACCAGGTGCATGCACCTTTATCCTCTCGACAGTCCCTAGACAGCCGCTGCGGCCGTGCGGTTGACTCTGTCCCTTTCTCAGCCAAATAAACAGCCGGGATGGGGAGCCGGTGCACCGAGGGAGAGAGGCTGAAAGGGGAGGTGGGTCTGGCGAAGCGCTGCCTGCTGCCTCAGATCCGTGGAGTCCTCAGTCCCTCACTACTAGTGCACTCGCACGGGTTCTGGCGGTCCGGGGGGGTTCTGGCTGCGGGAGCAGAGGAGAAGAGGGACAGAGGCTGGAGCCACTCTCTAAAGCAGTCCTGGAGGGATTCCGGCTCCAGGAGGTGGTGGCGGTGGTGGGATCCGCCCCGCCCAGAGGCCCTGTGCCTTGGCTCTTCCCCTTGCTGCGAACATCATCCCCCGCAGTGGGGCAGGACTTCTGGGCTCTGCGCACTGGGCAGGGTGTGGCCACCCAGCCTGTGCCTCTCCTCCCCCCCCCAGGTGTGGTTCCAGAACCGGCGCATGAAGGACAAGCGGCAGCGGCTGGCCATGACGTGGCCGCACCCGGCCGACCCTGCCTTCTACACGTACATGATGAGCCACGCGGCGGCCGCGGGCGGCCTGCCCTACCCCTTCCCGTCGCACCTGCCCCTGCCCTACTACTCGCCCGTGGGCCTGGGCGCCGCTTCCGCCGCCTCGGCTGCCGCCTCGCCCTTCAGCGGTCCGCTGCGCCCTCTCGACACCTTTCGCGTGCTGTCGCAGCCCTACCCGCGGCCAGAACTGCTGTGCGCCTTCCGCCACCCGCCGCTCTACCCCGGCCCGGCGCACGGACTGGGAGCCTCGGCCGGCGGCCCCTGCGCCTGCCTCGCCTGCCACAGCGGTCCGGCCAATGGCCTGGCGCCCCGCTCCACCGCCGCCGCCGCCTCGGACTTCACCTGTGCCTCCACCTCCCGCTCGGACTCCTTCCTCACCTTCGCGCCCTCTGTGCTCAGCAAGGCCTCCTCCGTCGCGCTGGACCAGAGAGAGGAGGTGCCCCTCACGAGATAAGGGGCCGCCCGCGGGCTGCCGGCTCCAGGACGCCCGTGGGGGGTCCCCCTCCGGGGACTCGGCCAGCGCCCCTCCCCGCCCCCAGGGCACCGAGGGGAAAGAAGAGGCCTGCGAAGGACAAGAGGGACTCGGCTTCGAGGATGGGGACGCCCGGGAAGCGGCTCTGGCTGGCGCGTTTGTGCGGCGGGAGTGGGAACGGGGAGGCAGAAGCTGAGAGAGAGATCCACCTTTGGGGCGGCCCGCTTGGCGGTGCTTCACCCGACCCACCGCCCCTTACCCGGGTTTAGGCCGTGGCTCCAAAGCTAAATAAACTTAGTAGCAACAGCAACCAACATCCAGCTCCTCAGCACCCTCCTCTTCCCCAACACACCTCACACCCCTTCCTCACCCGGGACCCCTCCCCCCTGTCAAGGCCAAGCCCAAGCACTGGAAAGGGAAATTACTGTTTCTCTAAACAAAACGCTGTGTATGCAGAGCAGAGAGAGATTAATCTTTGCCAGCTTTTCCAAGGCGTGGCAAGGGGCTTGTGGATGGCAATGCACCAGGCATCCAGGGGAGAGGGTGAGAGAGAGGATTTACTACCGCGGGGAATACTGGCCCTCCCGCGGACCCTGGGGGCTCTCTGCCTCCCTGGAGCCTCACTTACACAACGTCTTCCGGTTCTGCCATCAATCGGCACCTGATCTCTTTCCTCTCTCCTAGCTTCTTGATATCTCTCTACTTGCAACTCCATCTCCACCTTCACCGCAGCGCCCCCCGCCCACCACGCCCCTCAGCTTTTTGTTTAACATTCGCAGGGACACTGGCTGCAGACGCTTCAGGGCCCCTCGGTGGCTTCTACCAAGCCTCTTCTCCCTGGGCCCAATACACACCCTGATTAGCAAGTGATGTGTATGAGGAGGGTTTTTGAATGTTGAATGTATAATAATGATCACGGTGCAGCCAGTTAACAGCCCAGAGCTGAGCTGTTAACAAGGCGCCCAGGGAAGACCTTAGGGAGTGGGACCTCATCTTCCTCCTACAGTATCTGGTGGCAAATTAGAGGCTATTTCCTGCCTTAGCCTACCCACCTTTTCTTCACCGGGAGTTTTCTGGCCCTTCCCTTTGCATTTGGCATTTTACGTCCTTTTTACTCTCATTTTCCTCCCAAGCTGCCACTGGAGCTAGACTTTCGGATACTGGCGGGAGCTTTCTGCCCCTTCTGGAGAAACTTGTCTCCCTTCTTCACTTGGGTTTGTTTGGGAGCCACTCCCAACCTGTCACTCCCACACTCATTCCTGCAGCCAGTTTTTGAGGGATAGGGGAACTGGTGCCCCCCAGTACAAGCTTTTCCCTGACTGGGAGGGAGCGGTTCTTACTGTAGGGAATGAATTTGGACTGGTTTTCCTTTGAAGCCCAAAGAATTTGCTGTTACAATTTGTTAACCATATTGCAATAAAAGCTGGACATGATTCTCATTTTAGCATTTTAATTTTGGGGGGCAGCAGGCAGTGTGCTGACTTTTTAAATTGCTAGTTCAGCCATCATAGGCTAGGGTAGGGAAGGAACGCACAGTCTCCCAAGCTTCTGTTGTGCACTGGCAGGCTCCAAATGGATGCCTCACAGAGGTGGAGAAGACAGGTTCCAAGCTGCCCTGGGGTGTATGTTTTCTTAATTCTGGGAAACTTCCATGACT